TGGCAGTGGCGGTGGTGCTGCCTGCCACTTTAAGGGCCTGGAGCTGGCAGCTGCCAGGTGCCTGATGAGGGTCGCCTTTTTGGATCTGGGGCTGTCCATATAAACAGGGGAGTTCTGCTGCTGGAGGCCAGGCAACAACACCGCCTGGCCAGAGGACTGCTGGTATCACCTGGAGGTGAGGGAGGAGCTGTCGGGGATGGTCAGGAGGCTCCTGGTCCTGGGCATAACCTAAAACTGCACCCTGCCGGGAGTGGGTGGCCTGGTGGGGCTCCCAGTGGCGCGGGAGCCCCCAGGAAATGCCAGGCCAGTTACCACCCCAGTGAAAGGTGGGTCAGGGTGCCTTAACCCCTATCCCCCACAACCGGGTGGGTTACCCCTTCATAGGGTCTAGAGGGTGGAGCCCTAGAGAGAGAGAAAAGGCCATAGACTCACTCCTGTCTGGACTTCCCCTAACTGGTCAATGCCTGGGCCAGGACTGGAAGGGTCAAAGGGCCAGGGGCCCACCACGAGGAACGCCCAAGAGCTGTGTGCCTGGGGTTCCGACTGGCCTGGAGATGGGCCAGGGCTAGTGAGCTGAAGGTCCAGGGGGACCACACCCAAAGGGGGAAGTGGTTCAGGGAACTATGCTGCCTAGTATGAAGGCAGATGAGACCACCTGAGGAGGGGAATCCAAGCCAGGTTCAAATAGTAGGATTCTGGGAACCAGCGTGGGACCAGTGATGATGATAACATCTAGATGCCATCAGTGAGTCTTGGGCTGCAGTGTAGGGGAGGAATGGAGCTGCAGATAGTGCCCCCGGGGCTCGGGGCCGGGAGGGGGCAGCCCCCCACTTAATTACATCATTTAACTAATTAACAACAAGTCATGGTGGGCAAGAAGGTGGGCGGTTAGCCCAGAAACTGGCGGGTGAGCCACAGTTAAATTGGCCCCCAGAAGACCCCCTGTTACAATGACCAAAGGTGAAGGAGCTTTTTACTCAGTAGCATAATGGTCATAGCAATAAACTGAAATGTGGAAGACCCAGTTTCAGTTTTCTCCTCTGCCTGAGGGATTTAAAACCCAAATTTCCCACAACCCCCAGGATTGTGCCTTACTAGCTACTAGGTTAATGGCTCTTTTACAGTGGAAAGGGAGAGGAAACATCTAATGAAGCTGTCCCACTATCTGGAAAGAGGATCATGAGGCCAAAAAGGAGAAAGCATGAACATGACCTTCTGAAACTAGTGGTTAAGTCAGTCACCTGGGGGAATAAGGGACCAAGGGTCTGCTGCTTGCTTTAAGGCCTTTTTACATAATGTATGTTAAATAGTCATATTCATAAGAATACTTGGAAGGGAACCATAATCACATAGATTCTCTCTCTTCCTCTATCTCTCTGTGTCCAAATTAATCTTTGTTCTTTTCTGTGCTGTAAAACTGCTTTAGCAGGAGGGTAAAGAGTGCTCCCACCCCAGAATAGCCCAAATAGCTATTTTAGGCTGATTGCTCTAGGGGACCACAACCAAAATTGTAAATGAAAAGAGTAAACCCTGCTCTTTAGTTTGAAAGAAATAACTTAGATGCTTAACTCATGTAGAGATTCAAAACTGCAAATCCCTACTACATATAGGCACCCAGGATTCAGAGGAATACAGGTTTAAAATACACCCCTTTCTTCTGAAGTTCCTATTGGCTACCATAAGAGGATCCCCACTCAGTGCATTGGGTCTCTTGGATTGCATTTGTGTGGTGCCCATGCACTGTACAGGAAGCTTAGGAACCTAATGCAATGCCATGGATTCTTTTCTTGGACCATGCACCCAAATTCTTTTGTGGATCTAGCCTTTGGTCATGTCTGTATGGCTTCCCTCCTGACCTTGGGTCCACTGCCAACAAAGCAAACCTTGCCCACTTCCTTCTGTGGTCCACCAGCAACCAGGAATGAAGCAGAGTAGAAACATTAGAAGCAGCTCCAGGTGGGCCTCACCACCCTTCCTTACTACTGCCATCAGACTCTCTTGAGACAGAGGGGTACACACTGCGGGCTGCTCTCTGCCATTGGCTCTGCCTAAGTACCAGAATCTCATGTGCTAGAGTTGAAGTGTGGGTGGAGTGGACAGGGTCAGGAGAAAGGCTATAGACTAAGAGAAAAATACTTTTAGTCCCTATATGACTTAGTTCCCAGCTTGTCCATACCTCAAAAGAGTGTGGACAGAAATGCATTCACACTGTGAGGTGTTAGTTAATGCAGTGGGGACAGTCATTTCAGTACCATTATTTCATACCAATAATGGAATCTTTCTTACACCCACTTTCTGAGGAATGCCTTTTCTTTTGAAAAAAATAACATAGCTCAAAAAGCAATTTACAAACTTAAATGAATACTCTTCATACAATGAGGGAAATGCACGATATAAATTTAAAAAATATTTTAAGATATTTTATCAGTGACAACAGCCACTTGTTAAAGAAATAACCATGCACCATACTGCAACTGCATGTATAATTATGGTAAACAAGCTATGGTCATTAACATGCACATATACAGTGTCCGTGTACACAACTACATAAAATATATGCAGAAATTATGCATACACAATTCCAAAAATATATTCCTGAAAGTCTGATAACGCTACTGGTAGTCAGTGTATTTATATTTTATTATTAGGCATTGTTTATCCTTTAAAAAAAACAGTATTAACAATTAGATGTACGTTATGAACCATAAACCTGATTTATAGTGAAACTGCAGTTGTCTCTACAACCCAGCGGCCAGTGAATCAACTATATAGTTACAGGATTTTTTTAACAGTATATTAATGACAAAACCAGGGACTTAAACAACTGCCTCTGGCATCAGTGATTCGAACACAGTTGTGTTTCACTTTTTAACGGCCAAATTAATTCCACATGAAGAGAAATGTATTTACTCCTTTTTTTTTTTTTTTTAAACCCTGCAGACGTCTTGCAGGAAATGGTTTGACATACATTCCCAAGGGAGCATTTGCCGGCCTTTTCAGTCTTAAAGTGCTGTAAGTAAACTGTGTGTTGTTTGATATATTTCTGATTTCCTAAATGCTCCAGGGAGCTAATTAATAAGTAAAATTGCTCAAGTTAAGTAAGCTATAGCTATATTCTTGTTCAGTTACATTTGGGGATGAAGGTACTTATTAACATTTTCATTTCTTTGCTTTATTAGATGAAAAATGTCCTAAAAAACAAAAGTTGAAAACAAAAATGCTAGTCTAAAAAAATTTACTCCTCAACTAGATGTCAGCCATACAATATCAAAGACAAAAATTGAGTTAGTTAGCAGGTTCTTTACCCATCCACAAATGTTCTGAATTCAAGTCTAAAAACTTTAATGATTTTTAATAGTCACATAAAATGGAAGATAATTTTTTTGCCTTTTAGAGTAATGGGTTGGGTTGTTTCATTTCTGTAAACAAGGCATAATTTAAGTACAGTTCTCATTTCAGAAATAAATCTTGTTTCTATATTAAAGTAATCACCACAGGATAAGCTTTAAGTCTATCAAGAAAACAGCTAAAGGATATTTTCAGCCATTTTTGTGCTTCCTTATGACTTGAAATATGTTCATTTAAGAATATTCCTATTTCTAGCTAATAATGCTGCATCTATAGTCATAGTTGCAAATATTACAAAGTTTGTTTAAATTACTGGGAGTCTGCTCACACAAAAAAGTTGCATTACTTTGGTTTTATAAAAGTCTTGTCTTTCTCCATTCCAAAGTGATGTATCAAAGGCAAAACAATCACATGATGAATATAAACAGGAGATTTCTTCAGGTGATCACTATTGCTGGTGCAGATGGAGATGCTTCCTCTGCAGCCTAGAGAAATCTATAGTATTTACTGAAGCAAAACTCAATTTCAGCAAAATCTTAAAGTACTTCTAGAGCAGGGGAAAATCCAATTGGCTATAGAAGCAGTTTCTTGAAGAAAGATGACAAATTACCCCACTGATTTTTATATTTTTACCTAAATGATAGGTGGGAAGCGACTTGCAGTAGCAGGGAGCAGTTTCCGAAGCACTTAAGGAAGTTAGCAGCACAAGTCTCATTGAAAGCTAATGGGATATACTCTAACTACTTCAAGGGCTTGTGAAAAATTCCACCCTTTTCTAGTGTGCTGCCATTTATATAGTGATAATTGTTTGCCTTGGAAGCACTAATCCACTAATGAAAATCACAAAGAATGCAGATTTTAAAGGTAATAATAATGTAGTAATTTTTTTAGATAATCTCTGTAGATGTTTGATATGCTCAGAATCTTTCAGAAAGGCCCATGCAGTTTTATGCCTGGGATTTCATAAGTGTCAGAAAACCTAATTTGCCAACAATCTGTAATATAAAATAATTTTCTATACTCATATTGTTTCTGTTTTTTTGTTACTCTGAACATAGAATGCTTCAGAACAATCAGTTAAGTCAGGTTCCCACTGAAGCACTCCAGAATTTGCGCAGTCTGCAGTCTCTGTAAGTATACTTGATACACCAGATTATACCATAGTGTTTACATAACACCAATTTATAGGCTAATGTTATAATCAAATAATGTACTTGACCAGCTTTTTCTTCCCAATTCTCTTTGGATTCATTTTTAAATTATAGCATTATGTTAACTGGTTATGTAAGACAAAGGATTCTTCATTGGAAACTGGCATCTGCCTTGCTGTGCTATAAAATTGGTTCAAGGTCTGAGCAAACAGTCACTGCATGGTAACACTCACTGTCTGCTGGAGTATTATTTGTTTTCATGATCAATGCTGATCTTTCCCATTGTTCATATTTCCTGAAAAGCACAGAATAGATTTTGTAAAATAATCCTAAATTATGTCGTTGTCTTAGAATACTGAAACTAATCTATTCATAAAGCAAGACACCATTGGAAAAAAAATAATTCTGTTTTTTGTAATATGCCTAAGTTATCCAAAGTAGATAGGTCCCCTCATTATATGACTTTAACTTTGTCTACAAGCTTCAGTTTTATCAGAATTGCTGCCAAGGTTCAACAGTCAAAGGTTACCTCTGGCTGGCTTCTTTGTGGCATTTATGAAATTATTGATCGTTTCAATTCAGTTCCTAATAGACAAAAAAGAAAGGATAGTTTTGTGATTACTTGTCTTACATTTGAGTAAGTACAGAACAGGGGCAGCAGTGTCTGTATCTCATACTCTAATTTGATCTCAAGCCAGCATCTGAGTTGAAGCCACAGCCTCTGTTCCCTGCCACTACCCTTAAGCCTCTGTTCTTCCCCGCCCCGCCCAACACACCCCTTTTCTTCCTACTGCTGCCTGCCTTGGAGCACATGCTACCTCCAGCTCCCTCCAGCCACATAGCAGTGGCAACAGCTGTTTCTGTTCCAGCTCCAGGGCCAGGGTCAAAGCTGCCACAACAGCTGCTGTGTGGCTGGGTGGGGGCCAGAAGCAGCACATGTTCTATATTCCTGCCCAGAGAGGGGTCCCCAGCAGGAGTTGGAGCTTCAAAGGGAAAGCAAGTGGTGGGGTGGGAGCAGGGGGAGGCCAGGGGAAACACAGAGGCAGGTGGGAGGGGAGAAGTGATGGGGGTGGGGACAGGTGCCCAAAGGTGCAGGTACTACAGGGAGAAGCAGGCATTAGGAGGTGCATGCACAGGAGGGCCAGGAAGCAGGCGGCACAGGCACCACAGGGTCAGGTGTGGGGTATGCAGGCACAGGGGGGCAGGCAGCCAGAGGGGCAAGTGTTGTGGGGGACAGGTGACAAGGGGCAAGAGTCAAGCCACTTGATTCTCCTGCTGCCTTCCCTACCAGTACCTGCCCCCCTGCTGCTGTTTACCCCACTGCAGCAGTGGGGGAAGAATGAATTTTAGGCAGCCTTCCAAAAATTAGATTTTAGACATGGAAAATTATAACAAAATTATAAATTTTCCAAGCCTAGAATCTAATTATGGAGGGGGTCATCTTAAATTCCAAGTCTAGATTTGGGTAAACATGGTAATACATGAGTAAAATTAAATGGGAAGAGAAGCAATTTATAAATTAGAATATGGGGAAGAAACAGGGATTAAATGTTCAGAAGTATCCTCTCATTTTGGGTGACTAGATTATATGGGAAACCCAACATTAGTGAGCATGGGAAAATTTTGCCTGGCACTTTTCTGTGCTTCAGTTTGCCAGCCTACAGAATGGGAGCACGTGCACCCCCTGAGAGTGCTGGTGCACCCTGTGTCAGGCCACATTTCCAGTTTAGGTGACAGGCAGGGCAGAAGGGGGGCAGGCGGCCGCTTTGTGGTTAATGAGATCGCCCATGGCGGGGACTGCCCCCCTGGTCAGCATGATCAGCCACCAGGGGATCCCCCCAAGTCAGTGAGATTGGCCACCGGGGACTCCCCTCCCCCGTAAGCACAGTCGCCCGCCAGGGGACCCCTCCCCCTGGTCACTGACTCAAGAGGCACCAGTCACCCATGGTTTCACCCATGCAAGTGAAAGAGCACTGAGGAAGTGGTATAGACAGCCATTACAGTGAGTATGATGGAGATGTGTATGCTGCACCTCACCATGTAGTACCTATTCTTTGTATAAATGGAGGGCACGAGGTTGGTTAATTTAACATCTCTTGCATACACTAAATTTAAAGAAAACAATCTACTGAAATTTATTGCAGTGATATCAAACATAACAGGACATCTATTTGTAACTCCCATCTATATATACACACACTCAGGCTAACCAGATTCTTGTGTCTGTCTGATGCAATATTTACTTTCTGTGTTGACAAAAGTTAATTAAAAGACTGTGGGTAAAACAGTCTTAAGATTAGTTATCTAATAATTGGTACTACATTCAGTGTCCTTTCTCTTTATTGACCAGGCGCAGACTAAAATATCTCAGGCATATGCTTTTGAGGTTACAGTTCTTTCCTTTGATCTCTGTAAAAGTCATGAGAAAATTCTGGTATAGTAACCAGAATTGGTTTCCTCCCTCCACTAAACACACAAAAACAATCTTGCTAAGATCTCATTATTCTATATGTATTCTGGACCAAAACATGATAAGTTGATGAAACAAGGGTTTCTTTGTTGCTCTGAGAGAGACTGTTGCATTTTCAGCAGTTTCTAAATAAAATGACAGTATCTCTCATTCTTTCTTGCAAATTTCTTTTCCTAAAGTAGGGAAGAAGAAGCTGAAGAAGAAAACCCTAGGGTTATGTTGTCTGTGTAAAAGCCTGGTATCTGGTGACAGAATTAAAATAGAGAAAGAAAGGCAGTGGCCAGTAAGAACTTTAAACAGCTGCATAGCAGACAGAAGATGGAATGATAAGGACTTATACAGAAAAGCTACTATCTTCTGAAAGAGGATAATTGGCAATAGTGAACTCTTTGAGGAAAAGAAAACCATGATTCTTTTGTTTGCTGAAACGGGGTTGTGCCTGTCAGATAAAGGTGTGCAGAGATTCAGTTTCTTGTTTCATACAGTCTAGTAATTTTCTGCTCACAAGGTGACTCTTGCTTTGATTTCTAATTTACAATAAGAATTTCTGTTTGAAAGCCTTGAAATAACAGGAGTCTTTCAAAGGAGTACTTAAAAAGGTTAAAAGCTCTTAGAAATCTTTTACCAAAGCAAAGTTTTCTTTAAGATAGCAAGGCTCAGTATTTATTTATGGTTAACTTTATAGCCTGGCTCAATTTGTGAGAGCCTTATTAACTCTTTGCTTAAGCTAAAACATTTACAAATCACTGAAGGTTACTTCCAAGTCCCTCTTTTTATCCTTATAGGGTGCATCCAGACGTGTGTGGACATTTAGTTCCCCAGAGACAACTAGTAACAGCACACCTTGTGCTGCAGCTATTTGTCCCTGGGAGTTGCCCCAGGTAGAGTAGGGGAGGCTGGGCCCAGCACTGTCCTGGCCCCAGCAGCCTTACCTGGGGTCCTGGGGCTGCAGCTGGAGTGATTCTGCTGCGCAGAGTGCAGCTCTGGGCGGCCTGGCTCCAGTTTTCAGCAGCAAGCTCTGCCTGAGCATGCGTTGTTCCTGGGTTTTTTCAGTGTCTTTTTTTTTTTTTACCCCTGGATATCCAGGGGTCAAAAAAACCAAAAAACCTGCGAAAAAAAAAACCTAGTGCAGCACATGCTCTGGCAGCATGCCTTTGCAGTGCAAAGAACATCGGACTGTGCAGTATGTGGCACTGCAACCATGCTTGCAGCGCCACGTACCGCATGACCACGCTTCTCTGGAAGCACCCATAGGTATTACCATGTTCAGAAATGCCAGTCCAAGCTAGTTCTATTGCTATCTAAAAGGGATCTGTAAAAGATCATGCAATTCTACTGAATTAATTTTATTTTTAAAAATTACAGCTTTTTCCTGCTTGGTTGCATCATAGATTCAGTTGCACTTATTTTATTTCTACATCCTATTTCTACATGCTGCATTCTATTTTCCCTCCCCATCCTCTAGTACAGAGGATATCAACAACCATGGGTTCTCAACTGGGGGTGCTTGGAAAGCTCCCAGGGGATACGCAGCAGCAGCGCAAAGAAGCGGGGGGCACTCCGGGTTCTACCGCCAGCACTTCTGGTTTTGCCACTGTGCATGCAGGAGCCCCCACCCCCACTTGTCCATCAGCCACTGGGGACTCCTTGCTTCTCCACCAGCCACCAGGGGTACACAAGCCAAAAGTTGAAAACCCCTGCTCTAGCAGCATAAGGGTATGTTTTAAACAGAAATAATGTACTGGACAGACAAAAATTTATTTCTTCTACCTTCTGATAATATTGGTCTTCCCTTGCTGTTCTTTCTATTCTGAACCACCTAGGTTGTCTTCCACAAATCCTCCATATTGTTCATGGCACATTATCTTTCACTAATCTCCCTCTTGAATAAAAGTCTTTGATTAAAAATAAGCAGATCATACTACATGCATGTTATAGTATGCTAAACTGATTTCAGTGTATTTTCAGTGGAGGACTACTGGATTCTGCCAAGCGGATTCCTGTGCCTAGGTAAAGTCAGTGATGCTCTCTACAAGCCTAGTAGTCAGACTGGACTTCTGACAGCTTTCAGGATCAGAGCCTAAACTGTGAATAACCCAAGCTAGCATTAAGGTTTTCCTATAATTCTGTGTAGGGCTATGCTTCTAGATTTGGCTCTAAATTAGCATTAGTTATTTTGAAATTTGAGACAAAAACTCACATGACATACTGAAGGTCACCTTCTAATTGCTATGTTTTTAAATCAATCTTCTCCCGATCATAAATTATTTATTAAACCTGGAAAATAAGATTTTGTCATAAAGTGCACAAAAAGTTTCCACTTACCAAATGCTAAAATTTTCTCTATTTCATTTTTCATCTTTAAAAACAAAAATAATGGGGGGGGGGGGGGGGGGGGGGGGGGAAAAAA